ATGACGACACTGGAATCATTGAGGAAAATAACAGGAAGACATGTAAACCAGCTACATTTTTCCATTATGGTTTCTCTACAATAGTTTAACTGTTACTTGGTATCATAATATACTGAGTGCTTTTTAAGTAACCTTGTTGAGGAGATAGGGACTGCTACTTCCTGCCAAAGTGCTTAGTACAATATGCTGATTATAAAATCTATACAGGTACTTTATGACACCATTTGACCCACTAGCAAGAGCTGTGAAGATAGGTTCATCCTATCTGTGTGTATCAAGTATGGAGGTATGACAAACTGGCCACTATCAAATAACTACGCACAACATGTCATAAATGCACCATCAAGTCATCTACAACCAATGGCCACCATACTACCAAGTTCCACACTCACCATTCCAGATGATGACAGGTTGCTACTGCCCATCCCAATGGTCTCTCCTGAGCTGACAAATGATCCAATGTCTGGTATCCCCAATTCCGGCCTGCCTCTCTCACTGCTACGCTCTGCCTCCTGACTGGACTGGACTGTGGAAACAGCTGGACCATCTAGTCTCATTAACTGCGAGGATGACCACTCACTGGAAGCAGGCGTGTCTGCTGAGGGGGTCCTCTGCTGCGGCTGCTGCTGCTGTTGCTGTCTCATATGACTAGTCATCAGCTCCTACATGACAAGACAACAGTACAAGTTAAATTATGTACTTTACATTGTGCAGCACTCTGGTAAGGAGTGACTAGATTCCACACCCTTCCTCTGGAAAGTTTTCATCAAGTCCATCACAAATTGACACTGATTGCATCACAAGCAACAGGCAATGAAGAATTACACAGACTTACTTTTGTCCCACTTCATTTGAAAGTATATAACTTGACCTGAGACTGAATGGTTTGTTACTAACTTTCCTTCATAGGATTACAATTGAGGAGACATCGCCGAGTCTTATGTATATCTAAATGCCTAAGTGCACGTACAGTGATGATCAGGTTTTTTTTATCAAGCTAACACGGAAAGATGAATAATCCTCTTTATTGCTCTTGAATTATATCACATGAATAACACCTCCAAAACTGGTAAGAAACATGAAACATAACCCAAAACAAGCACAAAACAGAATCATCAGATGAATCAGTGTTCTATCGTGATGAGCTTCATACATAATGTGAACAATTTGAAATTAAACCACACTGTACTGCTCAAAATTTGTATACATGGCAAAATGTGCATTTATTTTCTATGAGCTGTCTTGGTTTCATGGGCATAAAGTTCAAGTGAACTTTCGAACACAGCACAGGCTTTAACCAATAATCCTTACTTCATGTGCAATGTACCCTAAGAGAGTATGACGATATAATCTCTCTGTCCAGGCCGCTGAGAAGTGCGCAAAGGCAGCAGAGAAGTCCAGACCTCTCAGCTGCCTACAATCCCTAACTGTGACAACAGATAACCAAAAACTCCAAATCAGAGGTTGGAGGTTAATCACCTGAATCAGTCGAGTGTCTGCCTTGCTGTCAGCACTGGGTGAGTTACGCTGTGAGGATGGATTGGAGCCATGGTGGTCACTGTTCAGCTCCACTCCACTGTCATGTTGGTCTGAATCAGGCTTGCCAGGACCAGCCTGAGCCTTGACTGCCGGCATTCCAGACACCATGGTCATGGGTATGCTGGCTAGGCTGCTTTGACTGGTGTTGGACAAGGGTGTTACAGGGACCTGCAGGGGTTTCTCCCAAGCATTGATCAGTGGAGGGGGTTGGGGAGCAGTTGATGAGAGAGCACCTGAAAATGAGGCAATGGAGAATTGGCAAAGTAATACGGAAAGCCTATTTAGTTCCATAGACAGTTCAAAGTCAAGTCTTCAGCTTGGTTAAGTAACAAGATGCAGATGGAGTAGCCACTGCCAAAGGATCAAGTTCTATTTAAAGTAAGTTTAATTAAAAGGAATATTGAAATGTGTGGAATTATTTTTTGTATAAAATGATAAAGATTTGGTAGACACCTCCACCTGTGAAATCCTAACCTTCATAAACATAAATCTTCACAAGGGGTATGACATAAACTGAGGCGCCAATTTGTTGCACTGGAGGGGGTCCAGCCAGACAGAAGCTGTATCACGTATGTTCACATGCATGTGTGATTCAAGCACTGCTGTGTCCTCGGATTTCAGATTTAAAAAAAAAGAAGATTTTTCGGTCACGTCCACAAGGTGTATTGCAGCTGGGTGCAGCAGAACTACAAGTGATGATGTGAGCCTGCACATTTCCAACTGATTCTGAAATTTTGGCAACCTTGGACTGCTAAAGTCATAACTACTATGGTCAAATGGTCCGTTAACCATGCAGTAACCATCGCGAGTGTTTGTGCTTCAAATCTGGATTTTACAGCTCCTTTGGCATAATAACAAATGCTGAAGACTGACGCCATTCTTTATGCGAATCTCCAAGAAAAGGAAAAGAGCCAGACAGGCTGACCAAATGCCAACATACAGAAGGAACATTCATCAAATGGGTAAAAATCAGGTTAACAAACACTAATGATAGCCAGTCAGGCAACTCACTTTCATTATTGATTTGAAATGCATTCACTCCAGTGTGTCTAAAATAGGCCTAGGCTTTGTGCTCTTTGTTTTGTGAAGAGTTGGGTCAATCAACAAACCATTCCTTGCAGATAGATTTTTGCTTTTTTTCTGCTGTAACTTATCCCCTCAGGCGTGCCAAATGTGACTAAATAATGCACAGCGTATCATTGATTGATACATGGTACCCACTACAGTGTACACGGTAGGCTAGGCACTATACTCCGGCGTGGGGGCTATGCTGCTTACTCTAGCCCAGCAAGAATGCATGCAGCTGGATTAGTGCAGTGCCAATTGTCTCCACTCAGACTTCATTTCACAAAGTCACCTTGTGAATTTTGGTTCCTGAATTTGAAAGGAAGTTGAAAGGTACCAAAGTACTATACAGAAGCTCAGCATTCAGATGTATGTAAAAGCTGACAATTACTGTGAATG